CGCTGATTCTTTCCAGACCAGGCGGTGACTAGGAGTAACGAGGTAGATGTTGACGTCCGCAACACCTTTTTCTCCCTTATCTTTGTTATTTATGATAAGTCCAGACTTTGTAAAATATTAGTAAACTATGTGGTAGCTCATGACTTATGACACCTCGATTTCGGGTTGAGTTGGGAGGGTTTTCCTTGTTCTATCAAGTTTATTTCGCATTTAAGATTATATTGCCCATGATTTAGACTTATTCCTGCTAAGTAATTATAAAGAGATGTACTGTTTTATTGATTGGCTGGACTTGTCCTCACGAGAGGCGCCATCACGACCGGGTTGGGATTTTGGGTCGTGACAATAATTGAAGAGGTTGAACATATCTGAGGATCCCAAAGTTGATGCTCCTCCATTGGAACCCAAATAATCAATTGGAAAAGAGGACAAGAAGTCTATTCTTTATAAAATAAGAAAGTTAAAAAGAGGTCTTGAGAAGGTAACATGTATTCCTAAATAGCATTATGACGTATACATAGTGCATCTATTCTTTAATGTATGTTAACACATATTCTGAAGTTAACTATGTATTTTTTTATAGGTAGGTCGATGAAAAGCTTGCAGATTTTAGGAAAGATGTCTTTGAAGAACTAGGTAGCCTTCGATTACTAATAAATGAGTCAGTCAAAACTGTTTTGCATGTGATAAACAGTCGAAATGATCAAGTTGATGCAAAGGTAACATTTGAATTTTATTCATATTAACAAAACTATTTATGTCACCTCTAAAATATATATCCTAACTAATATAAAACTTTCAGTTTGCTGGGAGTTCAACCAAAATACTGACCAACCAAAAGATAAGAACAATCACCAATTTCAGTTCACTAGTGGAGAACTAATGCAGGCCAGCACCAGCAAAACAGATATCTACAAAATAACTCCACTTTATCTACAATTATCTACAAAATATCTAAAAAATATCTACAAGTTATCTACAAACTATCTTCAATTTGTCTACATTATATATAAATATATACAAATAAATACAGCATATTGGCACAGCTCTACAGATTTATGTAGATCTTATAACACACCTACATATCTTCTTAAACTGTCAAGCCACTACTATCCAGTATGATTTAGCATTTTTAATGAAAAAAACAGAACATGTTGAAGGTGCACTTGGTGAAGAAAATCTTCCAGCACGTGTTGATTTATATACACATTTTGAAGATGCAGTTGATGAAGAGAATGCAGGTATGAAATTATATTCAGAGATATTTGCTTTATGTTTCAATATTTTTACCATTCTATTAAGCTAGATGTACATGGTGTTACAGAGAGAGAAGATATGCATGCACAATCTCCAATTCATGGAGTGACAGTAGCAGCTCAAAGAGAACAACAGAATGAGGAAGATGGCAATGTAGGTAAAGAGGCAGAGTATGTGAATGTAGGTGATTCAGAAGAATCCGGACGTGAGAAGAAGGGGGTTACACTTGATGATTTCGAGCTGCCTGATAACTTCTCCCAGTTGGTTAAGTTCGACAAGCCTATACAAGATGAAACAACACCCGTGCATCAAGGTAGAATAAGGAAGCCGGGAAAGCATGCTCGATCACCATTTCTCCCTTTATACAGTTCTGGTGGCAGCACCTCGGTTGGACCTCAAATTTTTCACCTCAAGCACTTATTTACTAGTGTTATTGGTCAAAATGTAGATCCTGAGTTGTTGGATCAATTCAACAAGTGGTTATACCACGGTACAGACACTGGTTCAAAGAGGTTAGTTTTCCCAATTTGACACTTTTATTTCAGTATTCATCTTTTACATATCCACTTCATTCAACAATTTTATTTTAATTTTTATTTGTTTATATAGGAGGAAGATTTTGTATTCTATAAAGGACAACCAAATTAAGCCATGGTTAAATCTTGGAGTGGAAAAGGTTGAAAAGAAGGAGTGGTTCTTTTCCCTGGAACACCCCGGACAAGTCCTCAATGACTCGGTAAGATTCAATGTATTTGATTTGTAGATAATTTGTATTATAATTGTAGATGCTTTGTTTTCTGTTTGTAATGTAATTGTAGTTATTTTGCAGTTTGTGTAGATTATTTGAAGATAACTTGTAGTATAAATGCAATGCGTTGTTGTTGCAGCACATTGATGTTATAATGTATTACTTGAGGAAAAGAGGCAAGTATGAGCCCCACAACAAGACCAGGTTTACTACAACAAATTGTTTGTTCAAGACTAGGATTGAACAAATTTATGAAAAGTTCCAAAATTCTCCTCAAGAAAAGAAGTTTTCTGTTGTCAAACCTCAGGACGTTGTAGCAGAATATATATTGGGGTATATACTACTCGCAAATATTGCATGGGATGAAGTTAATTATGTCATCATGCCCGTCAATATTGTAGAAAAATTCCACTGGGTGTTGGTTGTTTTTGACATAGCAGACAGGCAACTTTATGCGTATGATTCCATGGTCTCTTCACGCAATCACCCTATTGTTGAATCTTGTGTCAACAAATTTTCTGTTATTATCCCTTTGTATTTGTCATGCACTGGTTTTTATGGGAAGCGTAAAGACATCAACTTCAAGAATACAAAGGCATACATTGAGAAAGTTGTACGACCCTCTTAACATTCAATGGATCGTCGGAGAGATACCACAGTGAAAAGAAGGATCACTGTAACAAAAATCTTCTTTCTATACATTTAACCCTTTTTTTTCTAATCGTTTGGTAAATATTGACATTTTTTTTATCTTTGCAGCGATTGTGGTGTATTTGTTGCTGCCTTTGCAGAGTATGTTAGTCTTGGAGAGTTATCAATTCCGGCAGAAGACCTTTTTGATATTGACCAACATCGTAGACGCTACGGAGCGCTACTTTGGGACTATACTAGAAAGAAGTAGGAGCATGGGGCAATTAGTGAAAGTGAGGTGACAGGCATATTGGCAAGGAGAAAAGGTGCACCAGCTTTGAATGAGAAAACACGAGTCCAGAGGAAGAAGAAGAAGAAGAAGTAGTTGTAATGTTTTATATGGAACTTGTAGTACAATTGTTTAGTTGATGCCAGTTTAGAAGAAAGATGGTAGATAAGTTTTTGAACAATATTGTTGTATTTTAATTGTAGCAGACTTACGTTACAATTATAGTAGCCTTTGTTTTTTTTTCTTATCCAGTATAGTAGTTCAAATGAAAATATTCTGTTCGTTTTATATTCACTTGTTGAATGTTTACAGTACTTGATCTTCATTATTTTAGCATATAAATCCTTTCCAACTGAATTTTTATATAGTTATTCTGTCAACGCAAAAATATGTAGTTATTTTGTTGTTTTTCTGTAGATAAAGTGTAAAAATGGTAACTAAACATTTTGTTGCTTTTACATTCAATTTGTTGAATGTAAATAGCACATGATCTACATTATTTTTAGCATATAACTTCTTTCTAGCTGAATTATAATCTAGTTATTATGTCAGCTCCAGCTGTTGTAGTTTTTTTGTAGATAATTTGTAGAAAATATTTAACAATGTATTTTGTTGCTTTTATATTCATTTGTTGAATGTAAACATTACTTGATCTACAATATTTTAGTATATAACTCCTTTCCTAATGATTTATAATGTAGTTGTTCTGTCAATTCCAGTTAATTTAATTTTTTTGTAGTTGTATTGTAGATAAATTGCAAAAAATATTAACAACTATGTAAAGGAATCTAGAGATAGTAAAAAAGTGGTAGATTATATATATAGAAACCATTCATAAACAAATCACTCTATGAAAGTATTATCTCAATACATAAAAATCCTAACTAACTACATTATGATCTTAAAAAACCTCAACAATTACACATCAAATTCTGTTATCCTAAACTCACCAACAATTTTTATGAAATATTCCGTTAACTACATAAAATTTTATTTCTTTTTGGGTGCATTCTTGCAAGATCTTTTGTTATGCCTTTCTCCTCCGCAATTGCCACATGAAACCTTGTGCTTCTTTGAATTTATTTCATCATATGTTTTGTATCTTTTTTTTTGAGGTCTTCCTGGCTGCCTTTTCCCTCCTGTAGGTGGATTTACTACTTCTTCAAATATATGTTGTGGCATATTTCATTTGCTTTCATCAGGCAGGGGATTTACTGGTATTTCATAAGTACGCAAGAGGTTCTTCCTTGTGTAATAAGGAGAACAATATTGTTCAAAAGACTCATCCATGTGTCTTAAAACAGCCAAAGCATGTGGACAAGGAAGTTAATCAAGCTGGAATTGCCCACAACTACATCTCTTGTTTTCAAGACAAACAATATAGCGTCTCACACCATCTAGTATTGTATGGATGTAGTCTGTTGCAGCCCTCACCTACAATTACATTACAAATAAAAAAACAATTCATATACGGTTAAATATAAAATATCTACAAATTATCTACATTGTCCTGTATAAATTAGTTTGATGCAATAAATGATCAGATCTTACTCTAAGCTTGTGCGACAATGTTCTGTTGTCATCCAACTCTTTGTTGAATTTAAACCCAAGGTATGTAAATGTACCCTTTGATTTCAATAACTTTTCCTTCGTCCAACGTTCAAGAAGAGTCCTCATATACTCTAATAGTTCTACTATTGGTAGCTCTCTTGCATATTTTGTTACAGCATTCAACAACTCTGTAATGTTTGATGTCATAGTCCAAGTTCTGTTCACCGTAGTATGTACTTGAGACCATCTATGGTAGCCAATATCGTATAAGTATGCTTTAACATGCGGGTCAATCTCTTCAATCTTTGACATCCTTTCATTAAATTCATCAAGCGTGTATGATCGTGCCGTGGCAAAGTACAATTCGCTTAACTTTAGATGACCCTTCTTGAACTTTGCCAATATATTTGTCCAAATATGTCACATGCAAGAATAATGTGGCATGCCGGGATAAATAATAGATGTTTCCTTTATTCCGATTCGAAACAACACACATATTTGGTATTTCACCATATGCATGTTTGAATTGCTCAAAAAATCACTTCCATGATGCGTCATTTTCTGAATCAACAACAACATATGTCAATGGTAATATGGTACCTACATTATGTGGCAAATAGCAATTAATTGGCTACAGGAAAAATGCAGAGGAAGACATATACATACAAACTACAACTTTTCAATAATATATCTACAATAAATCTACAAGTACTACAAAAAACAGACAAGCTACAATATTTCTACAAGATTTCTATAATAAAACTACAATACCTGCTACATCAATTGTACTAGTTGTTAGCATTATTCTCATGTATGCCGACTTTAAGAAGGTCCCATCAACTACTACAACTGACCTACAATATTCCCAACCACTGATTGACGTACAAATCGCAACAAATGCATATAAGAAGCATTCATCTGCGGTCTTCTTCAATTTAACTACAGATCCCAGATAAGTCTTCTTAAGAATATAAAAATAACTTGGTAATTTGCTGTAGGAGTCAGCAGGATGACCTCTCAAAAACTGTAAAGCCTTTTCCTTTGCTCTCCAAGCTTGCATGTAGGTTAGATTCACGTCGTGTTCAGACAACATGTCAGTTTGTATGTCTTTTGGTATGTAAATTGTCTTAGGATCAGAATATTTTGGAATAACCATGCTACCAACTACCATGGCAGTAGGTTTACGTTGTATGAATGTATTGTCCATTAAAGAGTATGTGTGATGGCTGTTGAAATTTCTGACCTTGAACATTGCAGAATCATTTATGCTAGTTGCCTTGAAGTACCATGTACAGTTTTCACCAACACATAACAGCCAGTAACTACAAAATAAATAAAAGTTAAACATTGGTTTAAAATGTAGATTTTAAAAAAAAAGACTGTTTTAGCTTAAACGATCACATTATACATTTTATATACAACATAACTACAATTCATCTACAATACTGATAAACATTATCGCAAGAAAAAACTGAAGAAGTAAAAAATTACAAATAAACTACAAAATTAAAAAAATAATGATCTTTGACCATTCATATGTTCATAACTTCTAGCACTAGATCTTTTAACCCTGAATTGGAACTAGTGCATGACAGAATAGTGCTTCATTGCGGTTGCAATTGTTTGCTTGTCCTGGTTTAGTTGTCCTACTTCAATAAAACTTGGTGTACTATCTGTTATTATTATACTTTCATATTCCTCTATAATGGGAGATGTTGGAATATCAAGTAACTTTAGTGTTCCAAACGAACCTGCATGAAGATAAAGATAAATACTGCTATGAACAGTTTGTAGATAATTTGTGGAAACATTGAAATTCTGTATTTCATATTAATTTTTCAAATGATATGTAGTTTTATTGTAGAATAAATGTAGAAATTTGGTAGATATTGTGAAAATACATACTAATATATATATTTACTCTGACATGTAGTTTATTTATAGATAAAATATAGATAAAGTGTAGGACATTGATATACAACCAGAATTTGATAGAAAATATAACAGCACAAACCTGCAACTGTGTTCTCATTGGTGATACTCAATTTCATATTGAAATCGCGAACAGTTATACATAACAAATATGATCCTAAGTTTTTGTTTTCCTTTTTCGTCTCCATGTATACACGAACACCCATATCGTTCCTAATTCCATTGGAGGACAATGCTCGTTGACAATGTATTTGATTTCTATAATTTTTTCGGATGTATCGATCATTAATTGTTGTGCTATTGTAGAAATCAATAGACTATAACTCGCATCATCATCGACTACAATGTTATCGACCTGAAATTCTCTAAATCTCCCATAGCTATCCCAATTCCCATTCAGTTGTAGCATAGTTGGGATTTTGGACATAATTGTGTTTGTTGCAGAAGAATTGTAGAAATTTAGTCGTTTTTGATTTGTGAAATCAGAAAACATATTGAAACACAGTCTATCGCAAAAACAGAGTCGCTAAATTTTGAATCGAAACATCCGATAATTATTAATGCGTGATTTGCGTTGTAAAATATCTGGAAGAATATTTAATTCTCCAATATTAGCGCGCCTAAATAAGGAAGTCTACAGCTACAATGATTTTTTATTTAATGAATTGTCTATATTTTGTAGAAATACTATTAGCATGGCGAGCAATATACAAACTATGAATATATTTGGTAATACTAGTACCTACGAACGTGTGTTGCACGTTAATAATAGCACTTGATAGTTTAAACATTTATTTATACGAAGGAACAATAAAATTTAATTAATGATAGAAATTTTATGTATAATAATACAACAATCATCTAAATGCCGAAGAATATTATTACATTTGCATAATATATGAATTTAAAATAAAAGGACATCATCAAAACTTATACAAATGATCAATTTTGTCATGTTAGTTAGATAATTATGTATTATTTCCTCTAGTTCACTTTAAGTAATTTTTTGATTGCTTTCACACATATTAAGGAACCTAGTTTTTAGTATTAGTTAACAATGTAATTAACCATATTAACCTTAAAGTGGACCGGAGAGAGTATAGTTTAAAAGTATTTAATGTGATGGTATCTTACCGAACACTTATTTGTTGACGGTGATTTTGTATGTGTATGTTTCCTCCTAATGATTTGGTTGTTCTGCCTTAATCAGAACTCTTGTTGTCGATCTTGATATCCCTTTTCTAAGTGCAACATACAGATTGTTGTAATATAGTTTCTATATACTTGTACTTAGCAAATTTTTGAATGAAAGAATAATAAATTACATTTATCAAAAAAATTGTATAAAGCAAAATATTTGTTCTAAGGCAATTGATGTGAAAAATGCAATTGTTATTACTCCATACATTAAGTAATACTTGAATTCAAAACTATATAATTTGAGAGATAGTTACCAAGTGAAAGAGAGAGATAGATATAATTTGAGAAAGATAGATAAATAATTAAATTAGACAATGAACCTATATGGTGAAAATCATTTGGTGCTAAGTATTTTAAATATTTTTCTTGGTAATAGTTATTGATATCATCTTATGTGAAATCAAAATAAATAAATGCTCTGCTCTCACCAGGAAGCTTGGCCATCAACTTCTAGTTCAAAGCATGTTTATTTCTCCTAAGCTAAGATAATTATTTTTCATGTATTTTTCACAATTTTTATTTTTATTTAATGCTAAAAATATTTTTTTATTAAGTAATCTTCAATAACGCTATCACCATTGGGCTTGACATTCAATTGGTTTGGGAGAAAGACCGATTATCTTTAATTGTATGCTCTTCTTTGTTCTGACAAGAAACAAAATATTACTGGATATCAGATTCATTCACACTCTTATATTTTTTTGTTAGCCTAATCTTTTCAATTTGATGTCGTAAACATGAAGTTATCATGTTGCATTTACAATTTATGTATTTATTAATTTGGAACTATTGATAGTATTTGACATAAATTACTTTCAAAAATTATCTTTTTGCCCAATAATTTCTCGAAGTCCATTATATCTTAAAGCTCATGCCGCCGATGTCGATGGTATGACGCTTCTCCATATGTAGTTTATCCCAGATTAATTTTTCTTTTCTATCGATATAACATATCTTCATTATACTATGATATTTTTATGATGGTTGTGTCGATTATTTAAAGAGGTATATCAAATTTTGAGTGAACCATATGACCTCTTGACAAATTCATTATTGCTATATATACCACTTGTTATTATAGGTAACATTATCATATCTCTTGGTGTTTCAAGTTATGCACAATAAAAGAATATTCTTTCGATTCATCCTATCTATCTACAAAGAACAATCCAACAATGTTAGAGTTGTTTGTAATATTGAAAGAGAAAAAGTAAAAAGAATTAGTCTAAGACGATTGAGGTTTAGCTCTAATTTCTTTTTCCCAATTCTAACACAATATTGCGATGTTGTGGAATTGCCACGTGGCCTAGGAGAAAGTTCGTTATTTTTAATTTTAGGACTTTAATGTTACTACTATAGTCACATAACAATTTTATTGGATTTAAAGTTCTAAATTAAGCAAAATCTTAAATATTACTCCCTCCGTCTCATATTAACAATCATGGTTATTAAAAATAGTTATCTCAAATTATTTGTCATTTTAGAAGTTCAAGACAAAATTGATTATCTTTTTTCTTTTTTACCCTTATTAATAATTGTTCTTGAAGATTGGGATAACACATTAATAGAATAAATATTCAATGAAAAAAGATTAATTTTATGACATAAATAAGAGGGAAATAGTCCAATCCTTTTTCTAATTAATATTTCTTAAGAGGTGTGCAAAATTGAAATATGACACATAATATGAGACGAAGGGAGTAATACATTTTTATTCAATACAAATAGTAGTTTTAAAACAATAGCCCTTAGCTTGGAAGTAGTTTTGATACCTAAGTTTCCGAGAAATCCCCAAAGCCATAAACTTCTTTTTGAATATCAGTTATTACTTGTAATTATTATTTGTTCTCTTTTACTTCTTATTAATGCAACAAATTTTGACATATGTTCTCATTTTTCTCTATTATTCGGTCTAAAACTTTCAGTTTCCAAGTACTATTACTAAGATTAAAAGGAATAATTTAACTTTGTATAACTTGCATAAATATTGTGACTATTACTTCTTTGGTTGAAAATATTTATTTAGCTGATTGTATAAATCGATATATAACTTAAAGTTGTTTAGTTGTATATAACTAATATATAATTTAAAATTGTTTACTCCATTTTTATTTTGGACCGAGGCATAGTTGTTACTGTTATTGTATTAAAAATACTTTATCAATCTTTTTGATTGTGAACAATAAAAAAATCATTTCAAATTAAGATTAAGGATTTTTTTCCTCCCGAAGAAGTAGATTTCTTGGGTAGTCTTTAACTTCAAAAGAAACTATTAGAAGGAAATAGGTCTTATTTTTTTAATTTATAACAAATATTAGAATAATTATCGATTCATCTAAATTTTAAATTATTAATAGTGATTATAATTTTATCTAGCATATATTGTAGCAAAATATAATTAATTTTTCCAATACAGATTATCTTTGAAGAAAAAATACAGCTATTCAATGGTATTGTATCGTTTGTTGACTCAAAAATTTGTTAACTATAATTAGGGTAGTTTTAGTGCCGTTTCATTGGATGGGAGAACTTCAGACAATAAATATTTATTGTCTCTATATAGTTTGGGGAGAAAGCAAAAGTTTTGATATTAAGTTTATAGTATAGTTTTATTCAAAAGGAATATTAATCAAATAAGGAAAGAAATATAAACATAAGTTTAATTGGTTTCAAAATCCTAAATACTAGGAAAATAGTAAAATGACTATTTTGTCTAATATAAAATTTATTTTTAAGGTTATTTTTGTAAATCGACATTATATTCGTGCTTTCATAATAACTAGTTTCTATGTATGTGTGATGCACGTAAATCTCTATTCCGTTATTTATGTGAAAGAATATATAATTATAATTATTAAGACGATATTAACAAGAAAAATAATCATATCATAATGACGTGGAAAAATTGCAACTATTATTTAAATGTTGAAATCAATTTTACTTACATTAACATAATACTTGATGATTAGATATCGTCTGAGCTACAAAGATTATAAATTTAGTTAAGCTACATAATATTTGTGTCGTATCTTACCTAATACTTGATGTTTTTAGTGTATGTTTTCTTCTATCACTTTGGCCATTTTGCCATCACTCATCACCAGATATCTTGTTGTTGTCATATTGATATCTCTTGAAAGTTCAACATATAATTGTTCATGCGAGAAAACATATTGTGTTATTGTTTAGGCATGTGCTTCATTTATTGTCATTACAAAACAAAAGTGTATTGGAAAGAATATTCTTTATTTTTTGGAGGCGAAAGTTTATTTGGAAATATGACATTATTGTCAAAACCTGTACCTACCATCTTTATAAATTATGTAAGCCATTTGAGAGATCCAATTATTCAGTAACATGGTGGATGCATTTTTCTTCAAAATCAATCGTCTCTTAAAGACTTTGTTTTTATTCGATTGAAATAAATATCTTTTTGAGAAGCATCCGCATAGCAGCATTGGGCTCTTTATCTTATTGACGATTCTACACGTACAAACATTATATTAAGAATAAAACACGTGATGAATAACATGAGACCAATGTTAATATACACAGTACATATACAAGATATGAATATGTACATCATGATAATAGAAGTCATCTCAAAACAGTTATAACTTTGTCATGATCTCTGCTTTTTTATTATTCATATCCCACATAAACAAAGTTAAAATTAGAACTGCTATAACTGTAATTTGAAAGGAATCCTTCGCGATTCTAAAACATGTATTTAAGCTATATGATAGTACCGATTCGATTTGGTTTTGGACAATTTACTTGTGAAATAATTTCTATTAGTTTAAATACTTTTCTTTAGCTATGTTGCTTCAACTTTTTCTCCAACTCAAATTCATATTCCTTTCACAATTTACTTTATAGTCCAAGTCTAATATTTTAATTTTGTTCCAAATGAAATTCTTGTTTGAAGGAATAACACAATGTTAATCTGACATGGAGTCAGATACAAAGTCTCAATTGATTTTAGATTCCAAAGGTTATATTGCAATGGTTACGACGAAGCATGTGAAGGAAGAGATATTGTTGTCCAAAAAGAAGCTATTATACAAAGCGTCAGTTATCCAAGAAGATGTAGGCCAAAGATAAAATCCCAAAACAATTTGACCCGAAATTAACTTTGTAGGCTAGGTGTAATTAAATCGGAAAAGAATTCCAACCTTAGGTAATTTACAATTATATCTTTAAATTATACAAATATTCAAAGTTATAAAAGTCAATCAATGTTTCAGTGATATTTTAGTCGTTTAACATTTAACATAAATTATTCGTGCTTTTATAATAATCTAGATATAAATAGATAGATATAGATAATTTCCCATATGGTACAGGAACGAAAATTTCCCACTAAAATTTACAATGCCAACGGATTAGGACTTTTTTTATATTCACTTACTATGCTATTGGAATTATTTTGTGATTTCCTCTTTCTACAAAAATAATCTCCTTGCTATAATTACGCTTGTTCTCACATAAATTTATCAATTCTAATTTCTAACAATAATAAGATCAAGATCCTTTCCACCACTAGCTCATGAACTTCATAATTCTAAACCTCCCTCTTCTTTCTTATTCCTTTCTTTTCCACAAAATAAAATTTCAACCAACTGTTTGGGGTCCCTCTTCCTTACATGTAAGGAACAGGTACAATTTCAGCTCCTCCCTTCAACTAAATTTTTTTTTCTTTATTTGGTAGTTAAAAGCTTCTTGATTGTCTTTTTTGTAAAATTTGAGTTATTTTTCTTGATGATAAAAAACAATAATGTATCTATTATTTCTATGATAATATTCTTTTATTTTGGTTGAATATTGCTAACACCTTTGCTACTTGCATGTATGTCTCAATGGTATGATTTATTTATAGCCCTCTCATCCAAGCCATATTCATCCTTTCAATTTTTAGATTTTATTTTTTCAATATATAATCTGATTTTAAGGGTAAGCTAAAGAAGGGGAGGACAATTGGGAGATATAGTTCTTGGAATATAAACTTTTTATCGTTTAGATGAAGGGAATTATAGAATATTTTACTGTCGGAATGTCATGAACAAGCAAGAATATAAATTTTATGTCAAAAATGGATAAGTTGATTAAATCTTAATACAGAAACATCTGTGCTAGATCGATGTTCTCAGCCTCGATAATACAACAACAAACCCAGTGTAATCCCACAAAGTGGGGTTTGAAGGTAGAGGTGTTGTTTTCGATAAAGTTAGTGATAATTTTGAGCACTGGAATATTTCAATTTATTGTTTATTAGGTGATGACAGTTGTAAATCCTCCAGTTTATCTTAGCTACTGTAGGTTATGAATATTAAGTTATTAACTATGTATAATTTTCCTCTTTATCAGCATTTTATGACAGAATGTAGACTTAAGTCATACAAGGCAATGGATGAAAAAGCATCCCCACCTGATCTTCACCAGTTAACATGTCCTTGTTTCTATCTATTTAGGACGCCAAACTTGTGAGGTTGACGATTCAAACAACACTCGGCTACTTCTTGCTTTCAAGTCCTGGTGAGTAGTACTCTTTGTTTTGGATCTTTTAGAAGTAAAAAGAAAACAATCACAACAAAAAATATTCTTAGTATTATTGTAATATTGGGTTTGGATGAGTCTAAATGGAGCAACATGGATAGTGAGGATTCATATAGCGGCCCCCAACTTTCTTGTGATTTAGGCGTAGTTGTTGTTTTTCTGTAAACAGAAAAACAATCACAATAAGTTTTTTTTGTTGCTTACTCTGAACCCTTTATATCATAATCTGCAGGGTGTTGGTTTGTGATTTCATTTCCTTCTCTTAGCACAATGGCTGATATGTCTTGTGGTATACCTGAAAACCTGGAGAAAATTGAGCGTGTAGTCAGTCGTGTAAGAAGGAATTCAACCGGTAGCCTAGGATTTGAAATGGGTGGATCCAAGGTCTTGTCACGTTATCTTGGCGTTCCAACAGGTTCGTGTCACGATATGTGCAAGTCTGGTTTTGAACATGATTCTCCAACAAAGGCAAGGATTCCCCGGCCCACAAGATGTGGAGCAACATTAGGAAAAATTCCAGAAAGGAAGAAACTACCAAGCTCAACTAAACAATCTTCAGAAATCAAGAGCCAAAAAAAATGCCAAGTCAATGGACAGGAAATCCCAACATCCACCAAAAGAGCAGATGCTTTTGTAAATTATCAATGTGATTCCAAGCTGAAGCCTTTAGAAGAAAGTGCATCAAGAAGACATCACAGAAGATACAGCGACATCTTTATACCGGGTAGGTCTTCAAAACTTCACGAGTCTTTATCGGAAGGATCAAGCAGTAGACAAAACCACAGCTGTAAAATGGACAAGGACGGTGGATCCTCCGAGCTAAGCAAGAAAAAGAGTGTTGTTAACTCAACTGTTTCATTGTCTCCAAAATCTTCAGTGAAGAAGGTATCAAGCACAACATCCACTAACAACTCCCCAAGAAAAGCATCTCAACTTAACAGTAGGACTAATCTTACACCAAGCAAGACTGCGCAAATCAATCATGAAAATGTTCCAAAGAAGACATTGTATCTTAGAGAATCAAAGAATAAAAGCCACACTGCAGGGATTTATCAGGAAAATAGTAATGTCAAAGAATCCTCTTTGGATCGAGATAGTCCAACACGAGGTAAGACGGCTTCATCACCATTTTGCACCCCATCCTCTCCTCAATCTTCAGGTGGCAGTAGCTCAAGAAACATTGGTACCACCCAATCTTCCATTTCCTCATCTTCATTGGTGTCGCTACCATCAACTTCAGCCAATGAGTCTTTTAACAGTGATGTAACAGACGTTAGCACCAGACAAACTGGAAATACAAACCAGAAGCAAGGCATAAAACCTCAAAGGAGGGCTGGACAAGTTGGCCTAGAAAATGAAGATTGCAGTCCTAAGATGCTCAAGTTCAAAAAGGGAAAGACAACTGATTCCCAGTCTGAGAAAGACAGTAGTCCAAGGAGACTAAAATATAGGCAAGTCTCCGTTCAAGATCATGAGCGCGAAAATGAAAGTGGTGATCTTAGAGGAAAAGGCTTGAAAAGATGTATTGCCGATGACCATTCAGGTACTGCTAAAGACAATGTTTTGAAAGTAAATCTTCGGTCCCAGGCTATAGAAGACATGAAAGAAGCTCCAAGTTTGTTCAACAATGTGATTGAAGTTACTGCAAGCAAGCTTGCCGAGACCAGGAGAAGCAAGGTCAAGGCTTTGGTGGGCGCTTTTGAAACTATAATTTCCCTTCAGCATCCAAAATCCTCTCCAGCAATTGGGAGATCATAAACTTCCTTTTCTCTTTTTGACACAAGGAGTCTGCGAGGGAGGTGCAGGAATTTAAGCAGTATTTGTATGATACTAATACGTTGTTACTGTCATTGTGACTATATTACTTTAGCTAGTTATAGGGATTGATCACTCAAATTTGATTTCTGATCGAGTTAATGAGTGCTTAGGACAGTCAATTTGGTTGAGTCTTAAGACATTCTTGGATGAGTAACTCACCCATGTATGCTTTCAGTAGCTGAGGCACTTGTTAGCGTATTAACTCTTAACATCAAGTACTGGATTTTATTCTGCATAAAAGCATAGTCCAAATTTTTCTGTTGAGGGGCACATGCTGTTATTTGCTTCTTAGTCTTGAACTCTATATGTCTAAAGAGGGAATGTTTACCGGTTATTACTAGTCCAACGAAAGAGTTTCTGTTGTTATTCTAAATTTTTATTCCTGTAAGAATTTGGTCCAGAAATTTAGCAGGATGACTCTGAAGCCAAGTAGAAATCAACATGTTGAATCCTGTTTATCAAACATTTTATGTAACTTTACAAGATAGGAAAAAGAAAAAGAAATTCCATCAATAAGCAGAACATAATTAACTGCTTGCAGTAGTAAAAGTTTCACTCTATTTTAAAAATTAAGAGTTTTGCTTCATTTCATCTCCCGTTAAAGAGTCCGCTAAAAACCACACTGTCTCCTCCTAATGATGCCTCCCATTCTGTGGAGGAGATCCTGATTTGAGATAATGCAACAACCACCTCACGCATTTCTGGTCTGTTAATTGCATTTTCACTTAGGCACCAATCTGCAATTTCTCCCATCTGTAGAGTAATCAGAAAGTAAATGTCAGCTCTAAATTCATAGTTTACTGGCTTTATAAAAGGCGTAAGAGACTTGAACATCAAGATATATTTAGATGGCCAACCTTGTATACATCTTCCAAGGGATAGCATCCCTTTATATTTCCATCTATAAAGGATTCCAATGCTGACTCTGGATCCTCATCTTGGAATATTTCTTGAATCTGACCATTCAGCGGACACACTCTTTCGTTAGTGAAAGACTAACTATGGTGAAACAAACATAGGCCTATATAAACTTAAGCTGTAACAAGCAAGACAGTTATCTCCTGACATCTCAGTTATTCTTGTTTTAGGTTCTTTTTGTTTTTTCATATAAAAATTGCTATTCCATCATGTTCTAAAAGATGTCAATTTTCTCTGCTAGTCATTGATGTGATTGTGTTTCATTCTCTCTGCTAAATGGTTGACTTACAATTGAGATGAGTGATTTCATCTTGTTAGGATCTCCATTTTCGCGAATGAGTGCCCGTTTGCCAGTTATTAGTTCTGCAAGAACTACTCCAAATGCAAAAACATCTGTTTTGGTAGTTATCTGCAGCTCTTTCACAGATCTGTAACAGATATGAGACATCAAATGGATTTGATATTGCTAGACAATATGGCATTCTGTTGTTAAAGACACAAAAGAGACTCACAAGAATGTGTAAATTCAGATTCTTACTCAGGGGGAAGATATCCTGGTGTTCCAACTAGGCGAGTCACTAAGAATTCATCTTCATTGGTTCGACCAACTAGTTTCGCCAGACCAAAATCTGCAACCTATAAGAGAAAAACTTTGTTGGATGTATATTTAATGAAAACTATAAGAAGTTCTAGTCCATTTCTGATGAAAAAGATATAGTACAAGTTTTAAATGTGATATCCGTGTACTTGAAGGAGGAGTCGAAAGAAGGCACCTTAGCTCTCATGGCTTCGTCAAGTAGAATGTTGCTCGTTTTTATATCACGATGAACATACCGAGATTTTGTATGGTCATGGATATACTCAATACCCCTTGCAGTATCTACAGCTATCTGTGTTCTTGTAGTCCAACTTAGAGGCTTATGACCTGGTTCACAACAAAGTTGATATAAGCTAACTAATTATTCTGCATAATTTTTCTTTTTGGTTTTCAAAATCTTAGTTTTCGATGTGCTTTACAGGGTTATAACTTATACAGTTTGTGAACTTCAGTTATACTACATGTCACATTAAATCTTGTATCAAGATGAGGTCAAAGGTTGAATTTACATGTTATAAAGAGTACCTTTTAGCATTGGTTGATGAAGATGTTCATTGAGAGAACCATTTGGGATATACTCATAAACCAAGTAGAGGTGATCATCCCCACTGGCATAACCCAACAACTCCACCTACAGGATGAAACTCTTCATAAATTCTGGATCTTCAAAAAAAGTAAAAAGGGCATCCCGGTGCACTAAGCTTCCGCTATGCGCGGGGTCCAGGGAAGGGCCGGACTATAAGAGTCTATGTACGCAGCCTCACCCTGCATTTCTGCAAGAGGCTGTTTCCACTGCTTGAACTCGCGACCTCCTGGTCACATGGCGACAACTTTACCAGTTATGCCAAAAGTAAGTACCTAACAATTTGATTTACTTACCACATTTATGTGGTGGATCTTGCATAAGACTTTGAGCTCTGCAATAAACTCCTTGGACTTGTTAGACCTCATCTTTTTTATTGCAACTTCCTAGTATCAGTGTGGTAATTGCCTTTTAAATACATCTGACCAGCAAAAATGAAGAAATAAAAACAAAAGGAATTGCTATATATATACCTGCTTCCCAATTGTCCCATAGTATACACTCCCATATCCACCTTGTCCAATTATCCTAGACTCGTCAAAATCACACGTAGCTTCTGCAATTTCTTCAAGACTGTATATTACTGGCCTTTCAGATTCAAAAACTGGAATGTCTGCAGAGTTGAATCAATTGATTTTGTTAATTTTTCTATAATTCAATCTTCTCATGTTATCATAACAAATTGACAAACAGTAATCAAACCTTCAGTTTGATCTTTGTACATGTACTGCTTCTGCAAAGACATGGTTTTGTTAGTACTTAAGCTTTTATAAATAGCTGCACGATCTTCCTTGGCGCGTTTTTGCAATCTGTTTCTCCTGATAATAAATATCATAACAGTACACATTGAAAGTACTGTCACAGCTGATAATATTCCAACTAGTATCGTCCATTTGTGCGCCTTGTGCTTCTTTCCTGCTGAATGATGGGGAAATGAGGCAGTGAAAAGTCAATTTCTATGTAATAATTGTAGATATAACTAAAGTATAGGAGCCTTCGCATAACTGGTAAAGTTGATGACATGTGATCAGGGGATCGTGGGTTCGAGCTATGGAAACAGCCTCTTGCAGAGATGCAGGGTAAGGCTGCGCATAATAGATCCTTGTGGTTCATCCCTTCCCCTGACCCCGCGCATAGCGGGAGCTTAGTGTACCAGACTGACCTTTTAATTGTAGATATAACTAACCTGTACTTGGTAGAGGAACTCCATTTTTGTACATGGGCACATATAAAAGCCATCCAATATCTACAAATTGTGGACTTGCCAAGGAAGGATTCAACTTCTCAATGTCACTAACTTGAGAAGTAAGTAAATCTCCAATACTTGATAGCGTATCGCGCTGCTGAACAGTATATGTCACTACAGTTTTCTGGTCATCTTCTACACATCCACACAATAGATGCATAGTTACTACATCCTCAGCTTTGTAACTTTCTTCTTCTCCACCAACTTTCCAAGCCTGGCCACTATAAATATCATTAGAAACATTTGCAAATGTATCCAGTAGCTGCAGCTTATAACTTGTGTCATAGAAATATCCAACAGTTCCATTAACATCTTTACAAGTACAAGGTACAGTTACTAGGTAGTCTTGTCTGTCATCGTAGCTAATCGGCTTAATTGCTGATACATTAACTGAGTAAAACTTGGTGATATTCTGTTTTGACAGGCCATTATGCTGATAGAGGAACGCGCTGCACGTCTTGATGTGATCCGAGCATGGAAAAGGGTAGATATTAGTTAACTGTGTAGGTGCACCAGAAGCCAAATTTCTTGTAATTTTAGGGGAAATCAGAGGAAACAGGAAATAAAGAATAAGGATGCAACCCCAAGAAGCCATAAGTTTTGGAGTGAAATGAAATGAAAGCATATCAGATCAAGAAAATCATGATCATGATCATGATATTCTAAGTGAGTATTTCCTCTTTGTCATAGCTTATTTGTTGCTTCGTCCTTGACGTATAATACATAACATAATGCTTCTTAGTTATATTCTGATTATCTTTTCAAATAGTAAACTACCATATATTGAAACATAGTATTGTATCATATTGTATATTACAATGTCTGTTTCAGGATACTGCATCAGTTGGAATTTTTGGTTTTTAATATTCTACTGCTTACAATGCATACTTGCCGATTTTTACAATGAACAAATGGAAATATATGAGACTCTAGAAGTAATGTTACTGCTACTATTTTTTTGGGAAAATGACACTGAATAGCCTCTTTCAAAATAATAGCCGAAAAAATGTACTCCTATATTTTTTGTATAATTTTTTGCATGTATATACCTTCTGTATGTTATATAATTATACAAAATTTATTACATATTTTCGGCTATTGAATGTAAAAAAATTTTGGCGCGGGCTAAAAGTGAAAATTTGCTCCAGAGCAAATTGCTTTGAAGGCTAAATTACAAGTTTTATTGTAAGCTATTTAAACCAATGCAGTGGAGGTGGAGTTTCCGAGAAGTTTTATTTTGTGTCTCATACAACTTACATTAGTTATATGAGGCTCCTTTTTGTCTCACAAATTTGTGGACCCCAATCTTACACTTTTGGATCCACAGAAATCTGGGTCCACAAAACTGTGAGACAAAAAAGTTGTCTCATACAACTAGTGTCAGTTGTATGAGACACAAAATAAAATTTTCCTCCAAGTGAGAAGGCCAATTCATTTAGAATTGGATAGAACATTTCATGAAAATGAAAAATTATCTGAAATAATCAAATAAATACTCATTTCATTACAATGTATATGAGCGGAAGCAATTCTGTCTTTAATTTACAAAGGATTTAACAGAACCAATTGCTTTTTCTCAGATCATGTATACCTATGAAAAAACCTACAAATGGCGCAAAAATAATAGATCTCACCTACTCTATAGTCCGTACTCATTAACTCAAAATTCATATCCATCTTTGTAGATGACACTTTTTTTGTTTGAAAGTCTCAAAGTTTCTGACACCAATTACACTAATAACACTAGTCTATACAACTTTCAATAATTCAAACTCATTTAGCTCTTCACTTTCTAAAATATCACTTTTCTATTATTAATATCTTTTAATTTTTTTGTACCAATGGTCTTTCGGAAACAACTTCTCTATTTTCATGGTAGGGGTAAGGTCTGTGTTGACACTATATAATACCTAACTCAAATTAGCAAATCAAGTCTGTGTCTAACCAAACGTGTCTTATAAAAATGAGATCTTAGTATATGAAAAGAGAGAAATTTACATTGTCTTTTTTAACCTCACCAGCATACCCCGCTCCTAAAACATGACTGATTCAAAGCCCAGGCGGATGTAGCCTAGAGTCTATTGAACCCATATTTGACACTAAGTATAAATATATATATATAAAAAACTTATTAAAATCTTAACAAATATTAGATCTAAACTCATAGTTTTATCAGTATATTGAGTTTAGTGAAAGTTTGAACTCATTGAATTTAAATCCTGAATTCGTCTCTGATTCGAAGAATTAACTTTTGTAAATTTTAATTTGAAGGAGCATAACTCTGACCTTAAGCTCTAATCCTCCTTAACATACATACATATATATATATATAACCATCGCCTGTTGCAACATTGAGCTTACTATATTAATGAAGACTAAAGAATACCAAAGTCAAACATAAGTACTCAATATTTGTGGAACATTTGGTGGACTTTCTTGATACCGGCGAACCAAATAACCTTGGCTTTAAGGAGATGAATGCAAAATCATATGGAGGTAGCAGTTAAGTCATCGTTAATCATATGCCGGCCAACTATTTATGATTACGTTATATATACTATCTAATTTTCTTGGAGTCTACTGTCTAGTGCTGAAGAGCACCAAAAGAATCCCCTCTTGGCATCTTAAGGTTGTTTATGTGTTTGACCAAAGAGTGTTAAATTTTTTGCTAAACTAATTAATGATGAAATAGCGGATAAATCTTAGTTAAATATAATAAAATCTAGACAAAACATGGGACAGATCCGTGGAATGAGATCATGTTTAAGAGTAACGAAGATCAGTCATGTGTTCAATGATTATCAATTAATATTGTAATAAGAACATGCAATAAATGTAGACAATGTCAACAAATATAATAAAGAGGAATTTATCACCCAAATGTTAGATGGTTCCGGTGATTCTCCTTCCTGGCAGCAACGTGGGACAAAGGTAATGAAGATGGATAAGGAATCTTTGGATCTTGTTCACAAAAAATGAATAACGTGTGTGGAGCTCAAGAATCAGTGAACAAGACAATACTTGTATATTCTCTTTTGTCAACTCTTTACAAAAGTGCTCTTATCAAGAAGTCAAGATCCCCCTATTTGTTCTCTATCTCTTCCTATTTATAAGGGATATTATAAAGAAATCCTAAAAAGTACAAAATAGGGAATATTTAAAGGAATATTCCTTGTATCCATTTCTAAACCTATCCTACCGTTATTTTTTTTACTTCAGTTGCTCGTCCTTGACAATAATCCCTCTAAGGGAGACTCCCTGCTATTATGCCATGGTCGACCCCGTCCTCGACCCTGTTTGTCTACCGTTATCAAGTCACCAAATTTAGACCAATCCAGTTAGTCCATCCACTTGTTGAGGTCGTGATCTTGCACTCCCTCGGTAAACGGACCTGGTCTGCACCTGTTTAAAACAAATTTGGTCGTGTTGATTAAGTCGAATTGACCGAGGTCGAGAATACGGCGTAGCCAGCGAGGCTGCAGTTGGTGTGGCTAACGTGGGGTGACATCATGGCCACACGCGTCATCATTACGCGTCTTCCCGATGCAGCGTATGTGTGTCTGTCGCTTTGACTTTGGTGCCATTGACGGTCCTTTGCTCTGATTCTTGTGCCAAGGTCGAAGAATTGAATCGTGCTAAGAAAGGCAGAATGACCGCTATGGCTGAAGCGACGGACCTAGAAGATACCTCCGCGTTTGCAGGTTCGAGCGGGCTAATGAGGTGGAAACATCAGCACTTAAGGTGGCGAGGTTAGAAGAACGGATCCAGGGTTTGGAGGCGGAGTTGTCTGGTTTAAACGAGCATGTCGTTGTCTTGAGGGCCGAGGAGGCGCAATGGCGATCACATCCATCCACATCTCATACTTTTGCTGATCCCGGTGCGCTGCGAGAGTTGTATGAGATGTGGGTTCATGTCGAGGCTTAACTTGACATGTATAAATCTTTGAAGGCTGTCAGGAAAGTTTCCGAAACAGATCTTGAGGGCGTCCGTGTCAAGGCACGTGCAGCCCGTGAAGCTTGTGGTTACGACCCCGTACGCCTGGCGAGGATGAGGATGATGACGACACGGATAGGCTTGCCTCTGATCCTTGGTACGATGATGAGTACGTCGATGGGGATGATATGGTGTGAAGCTGTTGTACTTAGTTTTTGTTTAGCTTGACTATTATTGTGAGGGCGTCTTTGAGCCCTTTATAAAAAGGGATGTAATTTGATAGTTGAAATGGAATAGTTTCCTTTTTGTTATGTATTTCTTGATTCCCGTTCCTTTTTCTTTTTGCTATGTAGGGAAGCCCCTGATTTCTCGATTGTTTGTATATGGTTGATAATGGTTGAGTCGAACATAGACAGACCTGATGTTTAATTTAGCTCGGATAAGATCGAGGTTTGATGAGGTCGAACATTGAACAATTCGAGCGAGGTCTAATATTAAGTAATTCAAGCGAGGTCGAATGTAAGATAATTCGAGCGAGTTCGAATGTAAAATAATTCGAACGAGGTCAAATGTAAGATAATTCGAGCGAGGTCGAATGTAAAATAATTTGAGCGAGGTTGAATGTAAAATAATTAGAGCGAGGTCGAATGTAAGATAATTCGAGAGAGGTCGAATTTAAGATAATTCGAGCGAGGTCGAATGTAATATAATTCAAGCGAGGTCGAATGTAAAATAATTCGAGTGAGGTCAAGTGTAAGATAATTCTAGTAAGGTCGAATATGAAGTAATTCGAGCGAGGTCGAAAGTGAAGTAATTTAAAATAATTCTAACGAGGTCGAATGTAAGATAATTTGAGCGAGGTCGAACGTAAAATAATTCGATCGAGGTCGAATGTAAAATAATTTGAACGAGGTCGAATGTAAGATAATTCGAGAGAGGTCGAATGTGAATTAATTCGAGTGAGGTTGAATATAAAATAATTCGAACGAGGTCGAATGTAAGATAATCCGAGCGAGGTTGAATGTAAAATAATTCGAGTGAGGTAGAATGTAAAATAATTCGAGCAAGGTCGAATGTAAGATGTAAAGTGACTTGGTGGAGTGCAAAAATGCTACTTTGTTTCATTCGTTGGAGAATATTGCATATTTCTGTTTGCTCCATATATATAATGGAGGTTCCAGTGTACCTAGTCCCTTCATCGTTAGGCCTGGAGAAGTAGTCGGTACGCGGGGAAATGAATTATACTTGAACTTCGAGACGTCCCCTTCATCGCCTCATTAAAATCCTCTCCAAGAAAACCCAATTGGGACAAAATCCGGGTGAGGGAAAAAGAGTACGACTTGGAGGGCGTCCGTTCTCAGAAGTTGAAGTATTTGAAGTGGGCAATGTTCCAATTGTTTTGTAATAGCTTTCCCTCCATTGTTTCTAATTGGAATGATCCTTTGTTTGCTGCTGTCGTGATTTTGTATGGCCCATCCCAATTGGTTCCTAGTTTACCTTCTCTTGAACCTTTGTTTGCCTGTGTTTTGGCCTTGAGTACATAGTCCCCAACTTTGAGTGGTCATACTTTGGCTTTTTTGTTATAGTACCGTTCTGCTTGTTGTTTGTAGGCTATCATTCTTATGTAAGCCATGTCTCTTTGCTCCTATGCTTTGTCGAGGTCTTGTTTCTTGTTCGCGTCGTTGCTTGGTCCACTTTCATTGGAGTATCTCAAACTAGGTTCCCTGACCTCGACTGGTATCATGGATTTAGTCCCATAGACTAGTGAATATGGCGTTTCTCCTATACTTGTTTTTGGCGTGGTGTGATATGCCCACAGTACTTCTGGTAGCAATTCCGGCCATAGCCCCTTGGCGTCCTCCATCTTTTTCTTCAAGATGTTTATTATTATTTTGTTGGAGGATTCGGCTTGGCCATTTTCAATAGGGTGAAATGGCGTGGAGAGTATTCGCTTGATATGCCATTTTTCAAAAAATTCGACGGTTTTTTTTCCGGTGAATTGGGGTCCGTTGTCACAGCTAATTTCTTTGGAGATGCCAAAATGACATATGATGTTTTTTCATATGAATGTGATAACTTCATGTTCGCATATTTGGGCGAACGCACCTGCTTCTACCCACTTGGAAAATAGTCAGTTAAAACCAAAGAAATTGTATATTACCTCGCCCTGCTGGAAGGGGTCCTACAATGTCCATTCCCCATTTAATGAACGACCATGGTAATGTAACCGAGTGGAGATGCTCGCCTGCTTGGTGTATCATGGGAGCGTATTTCTGGCACTGCTCGCATTTCTTGACGTAGTCGGCGACTTCCTTCTTCATTGTGGGCCAATAATAGCCCGCTCGAATGAGGCATCTGACGATGGCTCGATTGCTGGTATGGGAACCGCAGTGGCCTTCGTGTACCTCCTTGAGGACGCGTCTTGTTTGGTTTGGCCCTAGGCATTTTGCCAAGGGGCCTCCAAATGTTCTTTTGTTAGGTCGTGTTTTATGATGTTGTACCTGACCGCCTGCATTCGAAGCTTTTTGGCTTCTATTTTGTCTGATGGGAGTACTCTCTCCTGCAAACATGTTATAATACGGTTGCACTAGTCCCAAGTTAAATTTACAAAGTGTACCCCAAGTTGGTCTATTGACGAGTGGAGGTGGGTGACCACATTTTCTTTTGTAGTGTTTTCGGTGGCCGCTGCTAACTTGGTGAGGCCGTATGCCTCGATGTTTTATGCTCGAGGTATCTGGTCAAGTCGACATTCGTTGAATTCTGGTAGCAATTTATGAATTTCTACCTGGTACTTTTGTAGCCTCTACTATTTGATTTGGAAAGTCCCTGTGACTTGGTTGACGAGGAGTTGTGAGTTGTATCTGAGGATGACTCGTCGTGCCCTATATTTGAGAGCTAGCTTTAGTTATGCAATTACGGCCTCATATTCGGCCTCATTGTTAATCATATCGGGGCACTATATGGATTGGCATATGATTTCGCCCGTTGGGATCTCGAGTATGAGTCCCACTCCAGATCCTGACGCGTTGGATGCGCCATCAATGTATAGGACCCATTGGTCGGGTAGCCTGGAAGAGGTACGAGTAGTTTCCTGCTCAACATCGGGCATTATTTTGGCACTGAAATCAGCGACAAAGTCGGCGAGTACCTGCGATTTTATTGTTGTTCGCGACTGATATGTGATATCATGCTCGCTCAATTATATGGCCCACTTGGCCAATCTCCCCGACAGTTCGGGTTTATGTAGGATGCTCCTTAGGGGGAAGGTCGTCACTACCGATATGGGGTGGCATTGAAAGTAGGGTCTAAGCTTTCGTAAAGCTACGACAAATGCCAACGCTAATTCTTTGAGGTGGGGGTACCTTGTTTCGGCGTCGACCAGGGTTTTGCTGATGTAATAAATTGGAGATTGCGTACCTTTGTTTTCACTGACCAGTACTGCACTTACTGCGACCTCTGACATGGCCAAGTATATCATGAGGCGTTTGTCGGGTTCTACTTTGGCTAGTAGTGGGGGCAAGGGAAAATATGTCGTTAGTTCTCTTAAGGCCCCGATGCATTCTGAATTCCACTGGAGATCGTTGTTCTTTTTTAGCACGTTGAAGAATTTGTGGCACCTATCGAAGGATCTTGAGATGAACCTCGATAAGGCGGCTATACGGCCTGTCAGTTTTTGCACATTATTCTTCATGGTTAATACTTTAGGTATTCCCTCAATTGCTTTGATTTGGTTGGGGTTGACCTCAATGCCTCTTTGTGATATCAGGAAGCCGAGGAACTTGCCCGAAGTTACGCCGAAGGCGCATTTTCCGGGGTTTAGCTTCATGCCGTATTGCCTTAGTATACCGAAGGCCTCTCTCAGCTGGTCGATATGGTCCTCCTTCCTTATTGATTTTACCAATATGTCGTCTATATAAACTTCCATTGTTTTTCCGAGTTGGTCCTTGAACATCTTGGTGACTAACCTTTGATAGGTCACCCCTACATTCTTCAACACGAATGAAATGACTCTGTAACAGTATGTTCCCTGGTGGGTGATTAAAGTAGCCTTTTCCAAGTCCTCCTCCTCTATGAGGATTTGGTTGTACCCAAAGTAGGCGTCCAAGAAGCTTAACAACTCATGCCTTGCTGTTGCGTCAATGAGCTGATCGATATGAGGCAACGAAAAGGAGTCTTTCGGGAAGGCCTTGTTTAGGTCTGTGAAATCCACACACATCCGCCACTTCCCATTTTTCTTTTACACCATGACTACGTTGGCAACCCATTGGGGGTATATTGATTCTCGGATGGAACTGTTAGCGAGTAGCTTATCCACATCATTGCTAACGGTCTCATTGATTGCAGCGTTGAACATTCTTCTTACTTGCCGGACAGGGGGGTAGAGTGGGTCAACATTCAACTTGTGTGTGGCAACGTCTTTTGGGATACCTGGCATATCTATATGGGAGAAGGCGTTGTCAATCAAAAATTTATGGAATCTACTTGGTTCTGAGAGTTTATGGCCGATGTAAGCCTTTTTGTTGTTGTCGAAGTTGGATAGTTGAACGGGATCAAGGTCTTCTACCGTCGACCTTGTGGCTTCCACGACGTTAGGGTCCTTGATGACGTCTTTTGGTGTGTCGAGTTTGGCCCCCGACTTTGGTAATTGCTACACGTCTGAGTCTGTTCCCTTTAACTATTGAGTGTATGTACAATCTTGAGCGATACAATAATATTCTTGGGTTGTGCGTTGTTCACCTCGGATGCTAAATAAACCCCAATGGCATAGGTAACTTGATTACTTAATACAGACTAAACGGGATGGCCCTCATGGTGTGTATCCATGGTCGCCCTATGATGGCATTGTAAGTCGTGTCCTGGTTCATGACATGGAATGTTGTTTCTAGAGTGATGCCCTCAGCCAAAACGGGTAGCGTTGTCTCCCCTGAGGTTTGCTCAACTACATTGTTAAAACTCGTTAGTGTTATGCAGTGTGGTACTATTTTATCATCGAGTCTCATTTGTGTGGGAACTCGAGGGTGGATAATACACGCGCCACTTCCGTCGTCTACCATTATTCTTTTTAGATCAGTATCTGAAATACATAAAGTAATTACAAGAGCATCAAAGTGAGGAAAAGTCAAACCGTGGGTATCTGACTAATCGAAGATGGTACTATCTTCGAGGTCATCATACCGTTCGTGAGTGATCGACCGCTTCAGTTTATGTGTGGTGGTAAACTTCACGTGGTTGATTGCTGCTTCATCGCCCCCACTGATGATTACTAGGACAGTGCGGGCGAGGAAGTGTGGATTTGGAAGGCCTTGGTGTTGTTCTCATCCACAACCAAAGTTGGCTCATCCTCGGTCACTCATCATCTCCCTCAGTTGTCCATGGTGAAGCATGTTCACTATTTTTTGTCGTAGGGCTATGTAGTCCTCGGTTTGTGACCCTGCTCCTGAAGAAATTCACAAAGGACGTTCGACTTTTGGATGCTTGGGTTGGACTTCATTTTTTGTGGCCACTTCACCTTTGTGCCAAGCTTCTCTAGTGCGTACACTATTTTTGAAGGGGAAACACAAAAATTGTGAGCAGATAAGAGTGTAGGCATACATATTTCATTTCGCTGAGTCTCTATATGTGGCGTAGACGACCCTTCCACACGTCGAGAAGAAGGTGGGATGGCTGTTCTGACATAGGGTTGATGCCTGTCTCAGTTAAGGCATGGACCTGGCTAATCTTTTCAACCGTCATTACAACGGTCTTTTCTCGACTCCGTTTGGACCGACCGTTAACCATTGGTGAGAGGGTATTTCATGAGCCTGCTCAGTAACTTTCTGGTCGCTCGCTCGACCCATTCCTATTCAACCCATTTTGGAAAGCTGCCATCGTCATCCCTTCTGATATATTTGGTAAGCTCATTCTTACCATGTTAAACCGAGCGAGGAAGTCTCTGAGTCCCTCGTCAGGATATTGCCTAACGGCGAATATATCATTCACCCTAACCTCTGCCTTTTAGCTACGGCATGGGCAGTGACAAACTTATCGGCCATTTCTTCAAACGTTGTTATTGAACGTGCTAATAATTGTGAGTACCAGGTTAAGGCTCCCCCCGTTAGGGTCTCGCCAAACTTCTTCAGTAACACTGATGGTACCTGCTCCTTTAAAAGTTCGTTGCCTTTTACCGCTGTGACGTAATGAATAATGTGATCTTCGGGGTCTGTGGTGCCGTAGTATATCTTCAAATATGGTGGCATTTTGAAGGTCCTGGGTATGGTATGCGGGGCTGCCTCCTTGCTGTACGGTTGCTCGATAAATCGGCCGACATCCCGTTTTGGTAGCAGTTTTAAGGCGCCCGGTATCTTGTCAACCCTTTGTTGATGTTCCCTCATCTGATCGCGGAGTGCTTTGTTCTCGTTTTTCATATCTTCTATTTTCTTTAAAATGGTTTCAAGTGCATTATTACCTGCATCAACAACGGTGTGAGTGTTACCTGTTGGGGGAGCAGGTTGTTCACCGGTGATCGCTGTGGTATCCGCTTGCACGGCATTTCTATTCACCCTTTGAACGGGCTTGTCGAGTATGTTATTTAGAGTGCTTGTCAGCCACTCTTCCAGTAATTTTTTCACAGTTGGTGGCGCTTCCTCAGCTGTGGACATAGAAGCTCCTCTTTCACGCGAAGTAGTTACAATACCATGAGGGGGAGGTGAATCACTCCACCTGGGTGTAGCACTCGGCATCACATTATCCTTGTCTTCTCTGTTATCCTCGTCGATGGTGTTTAAGATGTTGGTAGTGACACCCACTATTGCTTTCTGTCTTTCATCTCCTTTTCCTGCCATTGTTAGTTTGTGCAAACGTGAAAAAGATAGCTATCTTTTTTTTATGATCTAGAAGAAACTAAAATTTTAACTAAACCTCCTCACAGACGGCGCCAAACTATTTAAACAAAAAGTGTTAAACTTTTTGCTAAACTAATTAATGATGAAATAGAGGGTAAATCTTAGTTAAATATAATAAAATCTAGATAAAAAAACATGAAAAGAACCGTGGAATGATATCATGTTTAAGTGTAACGAAGATCAGTCACGTGTTCAATGATTATCAATTAATGTTGTAATAAGAACATGCAATAGATGTAGACAATGGCAACAAATGTAATAAAGAGGAATTTATCACCCAAATGTTAGATGGTTTGGGTGATTCTCCTTCCTGACAGCAACGTGGGACAAAGGTAATGAAGATGGATAAGGAATCTTTGGATCTTGTTCACAAAGAATGAATAACGTGTGTGGAGCTCTAGAATTAGTGAATAAGACAATATTTGTATATTCTCTTTTGTCAACTCTTTCAAAAGTGCTCTTATCAAGAAGTCAAGATCCTCATATTTGTTCTTTATCTCTTCCTATTTATAAGAGATATTCTCAAGAAACCTTAAAAAGTACAAAATATGGAATATCCAAAGGAATATTCCTTGTGTCCATTTCTAATCATATCCTATCGTTATTTCTTTAATTCAGTTGCACGTCCTTGACAATAATCCTTCTGAGGATGACTCCCGCTATTATGCTATGGTCGACCCCGTCCTCGACCCTGTTTGTCTACTGTTATCAAGCTGTCAAATGTCACGACCCAAAATCTGACCCGATCGTGATGACGCCTCTCGTGGAACTAGGCCAACCACTTATTCCAATTTTCCATTTTACCAAAATTATTAACTTTAGAAAACATCAATTTTTAAACAGAAATTCAATAATAAAAGATAGAAGTATCAAAACAGCGGAAAGAAATACAACCCCGACCTCGGGTGTCACTAGTCATGAGCAAACTAATACGACTGTCTGAAATACAAATCTTGAATAGTCTGAATACATCGAATAAGTAAAGCCAGAGGAATATAGGAAAAGAGAAGGCGGAACTGCGGTCGCCAAGCAGCTACCTCGCAAATCTCAGGTAGAAGTGTGCACAAGAAAGATCAACAACCGCTACCGTGACCAGATACACCTGGATCTGTACACAAGGTGCCGGGGTAACGTGAGTACACTAACTCAGTAAGTAACAAGTCCAACATGTGGACTGACAGGTAGTGACGGACCAAACCTCAACAGGCAATTAGCAATTAACAAAGCAGAAATGTAGACATGCTTACAGTTCAAGTAAAACTCAACAGTAATAGATGCAACTAATCAGTAAAGAGTTCAAAACTCAGAGATTTCATATATGTCCCAATGCACAACTAGCATGATCAATGTTCCACAACCTCCACTCACAAGTGCTCAACCACTCGGTACTGTATATGGTCATCCGGCCTAGGGAAGATCCATCTCAGAATATATATCACTGACTGCAATCATTCAGTACCGAGGACACATGACGATCCAGCCTCTCGGAGAAGATCCATCTCCCGGTATAGTACTTCAGACAAGATCCATGTCCAGGGAAGATACATCCCTCAACAAAATCATCTACTGCGCTCACTGGGGGTGTAAAGACTCCGGAGGGGTTTCTCTGAGCCCAAGCGCTATATCAATGCCAGCGAAGGCATGATCAATATCTTGCTGCGGCGTGCAGCCCGATCCCATATTGTCACTCAATATCAGGCTCTCGGCCTTACTGAGTCATAGCTCACCAGTTTCACACATGGGCTCCAAAAGTCATGATACTAGCCCGGATAATATGGCAAATAGTAACAAATGGAGACTGAACATGATATAATATGCATGATAAGGACTGAGTACAGATTATCAGTAAAATGAATGATATAACAGCAAGAAAATGACCTCGTGGGTCTCAGTAATATTGGCATGAAGCCTTAACATGATAATGAACATTATTTACAGCTCAACAGCTAGATCACATAATCATAGCACATATATCAATAACAAATAACAACTAAGCGGTGCTCTGGAGTGATCCAGGCCGCATTTCTCACGGTGCACACTCATATGCCCGTCACATGGCATAGAGTCACCTTCATAATAATCATAGAACACATCATTCGGAGTTTCAAACCCGCAGAACCAAGGTTGGAAGCATTACTTACCTCAAGTCAAGCCAAAACTCTAGCCCGCGACGCCTTTTCCTCTTGAATCGGCCTCCGAACGCCTTGAATCTAAACAAAATTAGTTCACAACCATCAATATAAGCTAAAGAAGTGAAACCCATACCAAATTAACCAAATTACAACACAATATCCGAAATTGACCAAACTCGATCCCCGGGCCAACATCTTGGAAT